ATTCCACAGGCCTTGACCTGGCCTTTATCTCTGCATGGTCAAGCAGTCTCAGGGGCTTCAGGAAAGAGGACAAAGGCCCCGTGTCACTGCGGCAGGGGCTTGGTTTCCTGACTCTCTTGTTACACTCACAGCTTTTGGTGGTGTTGGGGGAAATTTTAAAAAATATGTGTTGAATTTCCTTTTTTTCTCTTCTAGAAACAAACAAAAAAAGCAAATGACATCGTCTCCTTCCTTCTTTGTCCACTGAGATTAAAGTTTCCTGGGATCCTGCTCAGGATTTTGTTTGCTTGCCTGGACAAGCAGTTTTCTTTTTACATGAAGGAGGATCCAGGGGTAAGATTTTGTTTTATTCGGTTTGATAGTATCAGGGTGATCCAGCAGGCTGAGGTCCCCCTAGTCAGAGGTGGCCTCCCCACAGGCCTGAGGCTCCTGCACCACTGCCCTGCGGCATCTCTGCCGGTGCTCGGTGCTCGGGCTCCTCCATTACCTCCTACTGCCCTACCATACAGACCACCCTGTGCTCAGACTGGCCAAGTCATTGCCCCAGATTTGTTTGAAGCTGGCAGGAAGGGCCTGCCTGCTGCTTCAGGAGGATCTGAGTTTGCTGGGCAGCCCACATGTTCTAGGACAGAAACACTGGTGACCCAGGCGGGAGTCTCCTGGGGTGACCGCTGGCCTGGCTGGGCTCCTGCTCCCCACCCTCGGGCGGGTGAGGCCTTCTCTGCTGCAGCTCAGCCCAACCCGCTTCCTACGTTTTTGCCCCTCATTTCCCGTTTCTTCCACAAAGGCTTGGGGGAACCTCAACTACAGGTTGACCCCTACAACCTCCCCTGCAGGGTGGCTACCTTCTCCCTTTTTGAAAAGGAAAAGAAAAATGCAACAGTCCCACTTCTCCAGGGGAGGTAACTTAAGGCTGGAAAGTCTAAGTTATGGCTGTCACTTAGCTTCAAGTGCCTGGATTGGTTCACTTCTCTGGTTAGCTGGGCCTTCCTCAGAGCAAATCCCTATACCAGTGAAGATCGCTTTGGGAGAATCAAGAAGGTGAATGGCAGAGTCACAGGCCTTGACAGGGTGGGGCAGGGTGAACGCATTGGCCTGTGCCTGCACTGGGGTAGGTACCTAGTTATTTGAGCTCTTGGGGTGCACCAAGGTGGCCTGGTCATGGTAACTAGGTTAGGATGCCCAACCCTATGGAGTTACTATTAAAGGTTTCCTTCAACAAGGGATGGGCACCTGTTATTGAACATCTACGATAAAATAGGCACTTTGATTACTAAAATATTAAATTACTTTAAGAATACATATACATATAGTGTATATCATTTCTATTATAGCTGAGAAAATTGATTTGGAATCTGTATTTTTGTTCAAGGTTAAAGGGGGACATCTGACTCTTTACTATTCTTTCCCGCTCAAGAGGACCCTCTTTTTGCCTCATCCTACACAAGCCACCCCCCAACTCAGAATGAGCTTGTCATGGTTCATCATCAAGCTAGAACCTGTGCACAGACAGCCTACTCAGCAGCAGAGTATCCTCCTTCTTGGACGGACACACCTTTACCTACTGAGTACCCAGCTGATCAGAGAGCAGCAGGACCTGTGTTGCTGCTTCACAAGTGGGCAACCAGGCTCAGTGGCTCTCAGATCTCCCCTCAGATTTTCTAGGATAACTGGGTAACAACTTCTGGCTTCAGTTTCTCAAATGCAATCAAATTTTGGGTCCTTGGGACTCATAGTCTTTTTGTGCAGCATGGATTGTATGTACATTCTCCAGAAAGTAGAAAGTTACTAAGACTGCTTGATTTTTTTTTTTTTTTTGATGGAACCGGGGATTGAACTCAGGCCCATGCGCTTGCCAGGGAAGCACTTATTCTACTGAGCCATCTCCCCGGTCCCTAGACTGCTTGATTTTAATGATCATTTCGAGTTGACTACAGAGCAGAACTAAGTGCATGAAGGTTGCTCCTGCCAACTACATGCTCATGGTCCCCATCATAGGGAAGAGGCATAGACTTCTGGTTCCATCTCTTCTTACATGTCTCACAGGCTACTCTAAGTAATGTGCTGTCTCCCCCCCCCACACACACACAATAGGTGGCGTGCCAATAAGACCATAAAGCCATGGTCACCACCAAGCTAGACAAACAGGGGACTCTTCAGGGCTCCTAAGCTTGACCAAGCTACCTCCTGACAGAATTGTCCCTGGAGGATAGACATTGTCTAGTGGTTCACATGCTTCAGGCATTCATCAAGGGCATAGCTCAGTACAAGCAATTCCCTGATCCATCTCCTACTGCCAGGATGCATAAAGTCTGGGTCAGCACCCAATTTCCACCAACCAATAGGGGGCTCCACCCAGCTCATGTCTTTCTGCTCTGATTTGCTGGAGACAGGGCAAAGACTGGATATACTTATCATTAGGTACAAGGTCCTGGGCTTTTTGCCCACCAAACCTGGGATATAGGGCAATAAACACTTTACTAATGCCAGGGGAAACAGGTCTCTATTATGTTCTGGAAGGTGGTACAGGGCCATCCTGAGAACTCTAGCTCTTTCCACTGTTCTTTGGGCATGGACTGCACTGATAAAGACTAGTACCCCTTGAGGACAAGACACCTTGTCCCCAATCCATTTACTTTGAACAGCTGCAGGGGTAACTTCTTAAGAATTTGTAATATGAGGAGAGGGCTCATTCTTTCAGTGGTGAGTGTGAGGATGTCTATATCTCCACTCAGCCACAGCACTCATGTCATCTGTAACAACTTATTTCCCGGGACATTCAGAAACTGGCAAAATATATGTATCATGCTCTTTACACTGTATTTACAGCACACACTGGTAAACATATCATGCATTCACAAGACCCACTGGTCATCTAGACCAGACTGTATATGCTAAGGACATAATTGCTACACATCAGGAACTCTATTAAGTACTTTGCTGTTGCTCAGGAAATTCTCTGAAGCGGCTTCTTTAACAGAAACTCAGTGCAAAAAAGAAAGGAAATGAGCAATGAATAAAATCTGCCACTGCCCCAAACTTTTATCACCGAGGGAAAATGACCATACTTAGAGCTTTGGAGAAAACCCTAGGGCTGGAATTAGAGACAGATGTCTTTCTGTGGCATCCCTGGGGCAGTGGGTATGATTTGGCTGTTGGTCCTCTCACCTCCAATCCCTGTGTAAACCCAGGAACCCCCACTGATTCCCTCATTTCATTCTCCCTACTTGGTAAGGCTTCCCAGTCTTTGGTTCCTTTTTCCTTTTGTTGTGAGGAGCAGAGAGGGGCTCTTCTCCAACACTGGCCCAACCCAACTTCCCACCTCGCTGGAGGTGGGTTGCTCCCAGCTCACCAAGGCCTTTGCCTGGGAGGCTGCCCTCCCCTGCTTTTCATGCTCTGGATAGCTGTTAGCGGGTGCTGACAGCAGCCTCAATACAGGGAGCCTCTGCCAGATGAAGCAGTCTATATATTTTCTGTTATCCTTCAGTAAGCCAGAAATACATGCTCTGAACATAAGGGCATGTATCATCATGAGGTATGAATGCAACACACACTGTGGTTCCAGTAAGCACTCCCTAAATGTTAGCCATATGGTTATTACAATGCCCCAAATATATGTCCTCTCTACAGGGGAATGACAGACACACATATCTCACACTCTGTAACCGGTACACAACCGACGCTGTACACCACATCAGTTATTTGTAGTCACAGAAAGCACAATAAAAAAGCATACAGGAGCGCACCGTCTTTTCTGTAACTCCCCTTAACAGCCAGACAGGGGAGCACCCAGTGCCAAGAAGTACCTAGACACACGAGGCCTGAGCAGCCAGGTCAGCATGCTGCTGGCTGTGACTCTTTCTTCAGTCTGTTTACCCTAGATCTGGAAGGCTCCAGTCCCAATATCGGGATTAGTCCCTAAGAACCCACATGGCTTCTTCTGACACTCAGTACCCTCTTCCAGGAAGAGAGAGGGGAGAGCGCATCCCAAGTAGAGCTACTTCTGCTATTATATGTCCCAATTACATATAATAGAATTGCCACCCTGACATTCCCGAAGCTCGAACCCCAGTCTGCTCAAGCGAGCAGGCTACAGTGTGTTACCGGCTCCTAGCCCATGGATGGCCTTGTCCTGCTACCACTGCTATCAGGGCTGGAAGGTGAGAGGTCGATCTGTGGCTAAGTGTGGATCTAGCCCCAGCTGCGCCTGGCTCCTAGCCTTGGCAAGCATCTTGCTCTGAATGTTATTTATTTGTTGTCCCCTCACACGTGCCCCCAGGAGTGCTGATTATCTGTTGTCACAATGGAAGACTAACTACCCTTAATTGCCTGGGAAGACCCAGACTCCAACTAGGTCAAATATCTTCTGTGGGTGTAGAAGCCTGAATCTGAATTCGTTATTTGAAGATTTCAAAGAAAGAGAAATTGATTTGTGTAGCCATGTCATATATCCCACCCTTTCTGAAAGCCCCGAATCTCTTACTGGTATCTCAAAGTAAATGAATTCTGATTATTAAAAATAATAAAGCAATCAGCCACTGATTACATTTGTAAAGAGGTTTGCAAATGACAGTACATTTCTGAAACCGGGATTTTATATAATGAGAACAAACTTTAGGCTATTTGTCTTAAGAAAATAAAATAAGACGAGAAAAATGTAAACACAGCCCATATACCTAGTATAATTTTGAAAAAGGCAAAATATAAGCTAGAATGGGTGCAAAAATAGAACAAATCTTGTGTAGAGAAAGCCTTGGGAACAAAGTAGAACGACTAAATCTCTCTGCTGATGTTACCAAGCCGCAGGAGATGAGCGATGACACAGAAAACAAACAATATCCAGGAAAATAAAGCAGCAGCAACAGTCAAAAATGCCACCACCCTGGTTGCCCTCCACCCTTGTTTAGTTCACTTTGAAAAAGGTCAACATTTTTTTTGCTGAAAAGCTCTTTCCCTAGCATCTGAACTTGGGCGCGAAGAAAATAATTTGGAAGTCCGTGTTAAAAGAAAAAATCAAAAAATTTATTGGGGAATCGACAAGGCGCACGCGTGCGTGTGCACACACACGCAGACACACATACACACACACAAATGTAACAAAAGTGCTCTAGTTCTCACTAAAAGATTTGGTCCCCCAAACGACACACTACAGAACCAGGTCTAGGTTTTCCGGCCAGACAGCTCCGGGGCCACAAGCCCGCCTGGGCCGTCCGTCCGCTGCCCCGCCAAGTTTCACATTTTTCCTTCCCACGGTAGGAGAAGGCAGGCGTTTGAAAAACAAAAAAATATAGAGGGGAGAGCTGTCTCTGCAGCATGTGCCAGGGACAGGCAGGCAGCGATCTCTGGCATACGGGCTTGTACCCGAAGATCCGGGGAAATTTGTTTTTATTTTTATTTTCAGATAGAAAGAGAGGAAAATTCCCTAGATTCATAGACAAAATCATCTTTTACTGGTTATTTTCTCCTACCTCTATGAACGCAGCTTTTTGCAGGCCCGACGGGAATTCTACTTCAAATCTCCCCGAAGAAAAGATGAGCAAGTATTTAATTTTGATGTTTGGTTTTAGCAAAATCCCAGGCCATAATACTTCGCCAGTTTTCCCGGTGAATGTTTTTTCCTTAAAAAAATAGTTTTTACTGTCATCTAAAAAAGCCCCACCGATCTTTCTAGCAAGGTATTAATTAGCCAGTCGCTTGAGTCTGGAGGTACCCGAAGCGCACGCAGGGCGGAGAGCAGAAGAAACGCAGACTCCTTCGGAGCGGGGCTGTGGTGTGACTCCTACTCAGGCCGGAGCGCGGCCGCCCTGGCTCCCCGCTTGGGCCCAACCCCTGCCCCGCCCAGTGGGCCCCACGGCGAGCCTCTTCTGGGCAGCTCCACGCGGGCTCGCGGAGCGATCTGACAAGTTTGTCCTTTTTTCCGGCGGTGCAGCCCCGGCAGGCGGGGAAAGCCGGGCGTGAGCCCACCAACCTGCAAGAGAAGGCCAGGAGGTCCGCGCCGCCGAGACGGAGACGCAGCTGCCTCTCGGCCTTGGGCGCTGTGTCTCCGAGGTGAATTTTGGCTCGAGGCGTCCGGGCGCTGGGTCTGCGGGAGGAGGCGAGGCCTGCATAGCGCACGGAGGGGCGGCCTCAGGCCAGAGGAACGTGAGGGCACAGAGGGCAGAAAGGCGAGCACGGGAAGAGCAGAGGGGACAAAGAGCAGCGGATGGAGTGAGGGAAGCGAGGAGGCAGAAAGGGTCGTGGGCGCTGGCTCCAGAGGCATCCTCGAGGGTGCGCCGTCCCACTGGTGGTTGCGGCTGCGGCCGTCCGGGGCGGGCGACGTGAGTCCCGGCCCCCTCGCATCGGTCCGCGTAGGCAGACGGTGGCTCTCAGATGTCGAGGCGCGAGTGCAGCGCGCCGGTCTTGCTGTCGTGGTCCCAGTAAGAGCAATGCATCATGGCGAGCTCGGGCTGCCGGGCGCAGGCGAACTGCAGGCCCGGCGCGCTGGTGGGTGCGGGCGCTGGGGGTGCGGCGGTGGCCGGGCTAGCGGGGCTGAGCTGGC